CAAGTAACCAAAAGAAAAATTATTCAAAAAAATCGTCACAAGGGAGCTCCCCTTTGAAATTGTGCAAAAAAAAATCGTCAAAAATAGCTCTAAATCAAAGAACAAATGGATTAAAACTAAAATCGATTGGCTCTTCGCTTTGAAATTGTGCAAAAATCGTCAGACGAAACAGTGGAATTGAACACAATTTGAGGATGCATTAGGCGGCCGGCTCCCCCTTATACGGGAAGCTACAAGAAGAATCTACCACCAAAGAATCGGTGTCGTTTTACTACGCATACCCAAAGACCAGATGTGTTTTAAATGACAATACGTACACCCAACAAAAGAAGACATTTGTTAGGAATTCTTTTGTTCCATACTCAACAAAAGAAGACATTTGTTAGGAATTCTTTTGTTCCATACTCAACAAAAGAAGACATTTGTTAGGAATTCTTTTGTTCCATACTCAATTCTAAAGATTATAATAAACTTGATGAACCGATACCCAACGGGAGGCCCAAACATCGCGCCCGAATAGCGTTGGGTGACCAGTGCGGGCGTGCAGCGGAGGAGCCTAAACCAGCCCAATCAAGAGACAGCTGGAGGAGCCCGAACCAGGGGAGGAAACTCAGCTGGAGGCGGAGATATAGCCGAAGAAATAGGATCGCGCTAATGGCGGATTAGTCTCCTTGAATTGTAAAACTACCATAATTGTAAGGAAGCATGTATAAATAGAGAGGACCCGAATGAGGATCCTCAAGCTAAACCTAGTGTATAATCCCATAATTCTTGAGTTCTTGCTTATCGTTAATTCTTTTGATCCGCCTTTCTAAGTCGGATCATTTGGTGGATTTATTGTCCATCAAATTGGTGCTCTTGTTGAGAGCTCGTGAACTTCACTCAAGAGAAAACCTTTGAGAAGAACAATGGTGCAAACTCGCAGCAACGCAAATCAAGTCACCAGAAGCCCTCATCCAGCGAGGAATAACTGCTGATCAGTTCAAAGAAGTGATAGCAGCCCTAACCCCAAATCAGTTCAAAGAGTAAAACCTTGGGACAATTTACACTTGGGGCCCTTTAAAGGAATTGGGCTGTCCTTTGACTATGATAAACATTAGTTTGGAGTTTATAGTTTTGCGTTTTCTTTAGTTTAATTTACTCCGTATTTTTTTTCCCTTTGAAATTTAAGTTGTGACTTTGTAGTCTATAGTCCGAGTTATTTAGGTCGTAAATTTTTTTTATTTTGACTAAAAAAAGTCAAAATTTGATAAACTTTTAGGATTAATAAAATTAATCACACTATCTATTCATGTTTCAACGACTCTCTTTGTCTTAATTAATAATATCATTTTACTTTTAAATCCATCCAAAAAAATTCTCATATATTACTATAAGATCCATAACTTTTTTTTCTAAATAAATTTCAATCACTTATTTTTTTGTTTCAGATCTCAATTTTTTATAATTGTATATGAAGGTGTAAAATTTATGAACACTTCGAATTACATTTATATCTATATTTGAATAATGTTTTCATTTTAAAAAAATCTAACCGTGCATCATACGGGTTAGAATCCAATTGAAACCAATTGAAAAAATAAATCAACCTCATTTTGGAGTGAAATAGGAGGGAAATTAATCACACTCTCTCTCTCTTGGCTCTTTAACTCCAGTCCTTTACCACCTAACCTCTTCTTCCATTTTTCCTCTAGCCGACTTCTCGCCCTTCCTCCATTAAAATCTTTTTTTTACTTTTTGGTCAAATTTCAAAAAATTTTCCTAAAACTATGAAAAAGAATACCCAATTTTCTGTAGAGCAATGCTAGGGGTTTTGGTGTACCCCAAATGTACACCACCCCCTTCTCCAGCACCCATTTTTATTTCTTTATTTTTTAAAATTTCTTGCCTTTTTTTGTGGACAAGGAGAGGGTGGGGGACAAATGGAGTACACATTTGGTGTACCCCTAGCATTTTTCTTTTCTGTAAGATGTAAATTTAAAATGTTTGGGTTAGTTTTAAGATTTAGTTTCATACATCAAATTTTTATAATAATTACTTAAAAATAATATTTACTTAATTAAACAATTTGAAAATTGATTTAACTCTATTTAAACCTTATTTAGTATTTTTTATTATTAATAAATTTGTTATATAAAAGACATGCTTTTCAGTAATAAAATAATGATTTTTATGTTTTTAATTATTTATAGTTTTTTTTGAAAGCTTCTTTGTAGTTTATTGAGAAAATTATTGAATTTTATTAAGACACCCAAAAGCGAGTATAATTCCATCAATAGCAATAAAAAAGGGAGTTCAAATTTTTTGTTTTAAATAAATAAATAGATAGGGGAGAGTATAAGGTTTATTGCAAACGGAAAGCACACGGATACACCCCAAAGTAGTAAAATTTGGTTGTAGACTTGTAGTCTTACCGGATTTCTAAACTTAACAACAAAAATTTGTTAAAAAAAAAAATAAAAGATGAAGAGAGAGTTTGTTTAAGACTTCCAATGAATAATTAGGTTAATGAATTTTCCAACAATAAAGAATATGAATCAATGAATAAGTGGTTGAGATTCAGATTAGAACCCAACCCCAATAAGCAAAACATCTCTAAACGTGGCAATATTTGTCTCTTGCATATCATTGAATGTCTCAAAAGCCATCATGTAAAACTCACTTGTACACAATTTCTGGGTTTGCAGATGCGCAGAAAAACTTTGAAATTCTATCCCTAATCTCATTGTCATTTTCCCAGTCAAATTTGAGGGGATAGTGTGTGATGGTGAGCTTCACAAGAGTTGGTACCAATGCCAACACATCCTGGATGAAAGAGTTTCAATCCTGCAAAACCTGTCAACTTCTGAAAAAGAGGCGCTCCCAATCCATTAATGCTCCGCGAACCTCAATCAAATACTTCGACGTTTCATCTAAAAACCTTTTAGAATCCCATTTCCACTACATTAAACCAGAATAGAACGAATCAACAAGAAAGAAAATCAAAGCATTTTAACCAAAATTTTGACAAGTAAAGAGGGCACTTACGTCACATTTCAATCCAATATCAATTTTTCACAACTTTGGGCAATTGCACAGCAGGCAAACAAATGCAGAAAAAGTGACACCAGGAAGGTAATGATAATCTGATAGCTTGAGCAGTTCAACATTAAGTGAGGGCAGCTCTTGCAAAAGTCTCCTAATAACATCCAGGTCCAACTACGAAATCATGGAAATAAAGTTAGATTACTTCAAATGTAGAGTTATATACCATAAATATAGTGGTCAAGAAGTATATGTCAAGCTAAAGTACATAGAGACAACTCACATTGTCCAGCTCAAGATAGCAAACAGACGTCACGTCAAAGATAAAGGCAGAAAAATCGCATAGTTGCTAATCGCATAGTTGCTGGCTACTAAGAGAAGTAAAACATCCCTTGATTTTCAAACTGCGAAGATTCTTAAGAGTAATGTCGCAGTTGAATATGTCTTGACAAGCAATAAATGAGAGATTCCCGAGCCTAGGAACATCAGGGTGAAAAGAATACTTTATAGGACCAAATTCAATGTGTTCAAAATGAAGTGAAGTAACATTCGGTAAACTGGAATGTTCAAACTAGAGTGTTTGCTATCTCGAGCTGGACAATGTGAGTTGTCTCTATGTACTTTAGCTTGATATTAACTTTTTGACCACTATATTTATGGTATATAACTTTACATTTGAAGTAATCTAACTTTATTTCCATGATTTCGTAGTTGGACCTGGATGCTATAAGGAGACTTTTGCAAGAGCTGCCCTCACTTAATGTTGAACTGCTCAAGCTATCAGATTATCATTACCTTCCCGGTGTCACTTTTTCTGCATTTGCTTGCCTGCTGTGCAAGTGCCCAAAGTTGTGAAAAATTGATATTGGATTGAAATGTGACGTAAGTGCCCTCTTTACTTGTCAAAATTTTGGTTAAAATGCTTTGGTTTTCTTTCTTGTTGATTCATACTATTCTGGTTTAATGTAGTGGAAATGGGATTCTAAAAGGTTTTTAGATGAAACGCCAAAGTATCTGATTGAGTTTCGCGGAGCATTAATGGATTGGGAGCGCCTCTTTTTCAAAAGTTGACGGGTTTTGCAGGATTGAAACTACAGATGGCTTTCATCCACGATGTGTTGGCATTGGTACCAACTCTTGTGAAGCTCACCATCACACACTATCCCCTCAAATTTGACTGGGAAAATGGCCATGAGATTAGAGATAGAATTTCAAAGTTTTTCTTCGCATCTGCAAACCCAGAAATTGTGTACAAGTGAGTTTTACATGATGGCTTTTGAGACATTTAATGATATGCAAGAGACAAATATTGCCACGTTTAGAGATATTTTGCTTATTGAGGTTGTGTTCTAATCTGAATCTCAACCACTTATTCATTGATTCATATTCTTTATTGTTGGGAAATTCATTAACCTAATTATTCATTGGAAGTCTTAAAAAAACTCTCTCTTCTTCTTTTCTTTTTTTTAACAAATTTTTGTTGTTGTTAAGTTTAGAAATCCGGTAAGACTACAAGTCTACAACCAAATTTTACTACTCTGGGTGTATCCGTTTGCAATAAACCTTATACTCTCCCCTATCTATTTATTTATTTAAAACAAAAAATTTGCACTCCCTTTTTTATTGCTATTGAAGGATTATACTCTTTTGGGTGTCTTAAAAAAATTCAATAATTTTCTTAATAAACTACAAAGAAGCTTTAAAAAAAACTATAAATAATTAAAAACATAAAAACCATTATTTTATTACTGAAAAGCATGTCTTTTATATGACAAATTTATTAATAATAAAAAATACTAAATAAGGTTTAAATAGAGTTAAATCAATTTTCAGATAGTTTAATTAAGTAAATATTATTTTTAAGTAATTATTATAAAAATTTGATGTATGAAACTAAATCTTAAAACTAACCCAAACATTTTAAATTTACATCTTACAGAAAATTGGGTATTCTTTTTCATAGTTTTAGGCAAATTTTTTATGGACGAAGAACGGAAGATTTTTTAAATTTGACCAAAAATCGTCACAAGAGAGCTCCCTTTTGAAATTGTGCAAAAATATCGTCAAAAATAGCTCTAAATCAAAGAACAAATGGATTAAAACTAAAACTGATTGACTCTTCGCTTTTAAATTGTGCAAGAATTGTCAAAAATAGTCAGACGAAACAGTGGGGGGCGACAGGCTTCCCAGTGAACGGAAAACTGCCACCATCGAATCAGTGGCGTTTTCCGACACATACACACAGATCAGAGACATAATTTAATAAGGTATGGATAGAAAACCTGTAACTCCACTTGGACGGCCGGAGAAGACGATGGAGATTCGGGGGTGGCGGCGGATGGAGAAAACCTGAAACTCCCCTGCCCTATTTTGTACCCTAAATTTGTTTGGGTAAACTTGTGTTCTAAAACAATGTACTCCCGCAATTCTAATTCTCAATCGGACTTGTAATCGGCAGGAAGTAACTCAAATACGTTCCATTTTTATTACAAACTAGACTCGTACCCGTGCGATGCACGGACTATTAATTGACATATAATTATTCAATGTTTTGAATAAGGAAAAATGTTACCAAAACCTGAAAGATTATATAAATTGAAAAAATAAAAAAAAGAAGAGGAGTTTTGGAAGTGTTATAAGTTTTGAAACACTTCTTTATAAATTATATTCGATGAAGGAAGGTCTTTATTGCAAATCAAAATCTTTAACACTTTCCATGTGTTGAACGGTAAGACTATTTAACTATTATTTTAAAGAAACAATGAATAAATTTTACTCCGTATGATAAAAATAAATTGGATTCAAATAAAGTGGATGGGTGAGAAATTAAAAAATGAATTTAGGTAGTGTTTGGCAACTAGCATTTCATTTCAATTCATGCATTTCAATTCCAAAATTTGAAATCCTGAATTTCAAATGACTAGAGGAGGTGCATGAATTTCAAATTAAGCTTTGTTTTGAATGTAAAGAATTTGATTCAAATCCAAATTCAAAATGCTTAAGTTTTCCAAACATGGAATTTAAGTCAAATCCGGATTTGAAATCCAAATCCATATTCCCAAACATACCATTATATGATAGATAAGAACTTAATAAATATTTGAGTTAACACAAATAAAAATAGAGGCCAGTTACCATGACATTGGGAATCAATGTCATGGGATCCGGGTGTGCTCTGATACCCCGTTCATAAAATTGACGATTTCTACCTCACTAATCCCCACGGTAAACCTTCCCCACCCCGCCCCAACCCGAACACACCCCCAACCCCCTTCAATTGCGCCCCCAAGTTAATTTTGATTTTGGAGTCAAAATTTGACTCTTAAGTCAAAATTAACTTTGTGGGTGCAATAGAAAGGGGTGGGAAGTGTGTTTGGGTCGGGGCGGGGTTGAGGGTTTAAAGGGGGTTAGAGAGGATAAGATTCATCAATTTTACGAATGGTGCAATTAAATTAGAATACTATCATATCAATTAAATCAAAATGCGTCTATTCAAAAACATAAAATCAACATTTTTCCTTACCTCAAGATTCGTTGGATGAACTGGTAAAGTAGAAGAAGAGAGAGCTCCAAATGCACCGAAGTTACTAAGTTGTCTAGGCCCCACCCTTTGAATGTATAAAGCAGGGTGACCCTCCATTTATGCTTCTTCGCATAAAAGACATGTAAATATGACCTTGTTCTTTAGTTTCAATCAACTAAGAAAAAGCTTCATCATACCTAATTCAAGATTGATAAAGAATTTTAATACATAAATGAGCAGGAAGCTGATAGCAGTCTTAGAAAACGGCTAAAAGAGTATAGAGGTAATAATGTGCAATATTACACAGAAACGAATGCAAGGAACCACATTTAACATTGCAAATTGAGATATAGAGGTAATTCTATACCTACGAAGTATTTTTTTTTAAATTCACATATTAATTTTATACACCTTAGTGAACAAAAAATACCTTGAAAGAAAAAAAATAGTACATTGGGAGAAGTTCATGGGGGCATTATGTCAAACATTTGTGTGCCTCCTCCATTATGATATTATGTGCTAAAAATCCAAGAAGTGTTCCAAACATGTAAGATTGTAAAAATGGAATTAAGGAAATTGAATTCAAAATCGATCAATCACTATTCTAGTGGTTCATTTATAAGAAATGAATTGAGAAGAAAGAGGGTTCCGAATTAAATAGGAATCTTTACCCTCCCATAGAGCCCTACAGCTCAGGTTTCTTGAAAGTTTCTGATCTTCACACCATTTATTGGGAGCAGCCCGGGAATCCCAGCAGCCAGGTGAGTCATTTCGTCGAATACACAGTGAGCATTGCTCATCAAAACCAATTCCTTTTCTTCAACTATAAAATCAAACATATACTTGAGTAAATATGTAAAATCGAAGATAAGAAGAAGAAGAAAAAAGATGAGGAAGTAGAAAACCTGCAGTTGTAGGCCAAGCGTCTTTCTCGTTAGAATCCATAGCTGGGGTTATAACCCTAGGTCATTGCAACATGGATACTTTTTTTTATATAGCTCCTTCAAACAATCAAAAACAATGTTCAAGTCGTGGGAGATACAACTAAGGTAGATTTTACATAAACATGAATTTCTTTCTATTCGTTTTTTTAATGTGAATAATCACAACAATGAACTAAAGAATACTTTAAATCACAACAAAGCAATTATGTTTCATCCACTATCAGATGCTTCACCTAGTCATCATTCCCTGAAATCTCACCACTTATCCTTTATATTAGTGACTAATGTACATCAAAGAACTCATTTATTTTTCCATCTAGGGATCACAAATTTTCTTGTCGGTTTATGAAAGAAAAAAAAAGAAAAAAAGTACTTTAAGTTTGAGTATAAACTATTTAATTCATATCATAAACATAACACAGAATTCTAGCATATGTTTTCGCATCTAGTGCTTATTGAAATTTAGCAAGTTCAACTTTGCAATCTGCAAGCACCTAAAATAGATGAGTCTTTAACTCTATAGCCTGAGCAACCTTTCTCTTATACACATTTAAGCAATCTTGTTCTAACAGAAAAAGCATCTTGTGCTGATCTTTTTCATTTGTGCTCACCTCATCCCAAGAATTCCAAATTTAATTAAAACCTTTTTGTGGAAGCAACTTTCATTGTTTGAGACAAATTTAGTCAAATAGAAATATTAAAATCTAGCTTCTACCCATAGAAAACATGAAATACTAATTTAAATTACCCCACTCCATTGGCTCTTGATCTTAGGTAAGCTTATGAAATACACTCAGAACTGTAGATTGATGCACTCAAACAAAGAGAGTTTCAATATGAATTTGATGAAAAAAAATAGAAATGTACCGTAGCCACTGGGCCAATGTTGAGAAAGATGATGAATAGTTGATTGTACTCCTGCAACCACAACCTTCACCTTCACCTCTCCCTCAAGATGCGCTGTTCCTAGAGGTCTGCGCTGTGTGAAGCGCGGCTGCCAGAAGAAGCCTTCGACAATACCCCTCCTAGAATCCATCACAGTTCCTCCTCTGTCGCCGATGCTCGACCGCCGCTGTGTCGTCACTGCACCCCATCTGATTGAAAAGTCTACCTCCCGTAGTTCTCTCTCTATGTCTTGTTGCTTGGGATGTGGTTTAGGTTTATCTCCGTGTACTCCAAAATCGCGTGCGAAATCCCAGACCAAAATCGCCAGTAGTACTCCAAAGCTTCAATTCTCTCGTGCTAAAACCACGACCTCGCGAAGCCGTTCAAAAGAACCCTAGATACCCGGAAGGTGAGGATGTGGGAACTGGGAAGATATTTTATGCGAATGTGTGGTCCAAATCTCACGCTGTAGCAAAAAAATGGGCTGGAACACGGTAGAAAAATGCATAGTAAGATTGGGTTAGAGATAAAATTACTACTTTTGAAATTATTTTATTTGGAAATTGGCACATTAATAAAAAATAAAATCTGCATACTAAAAAATTATATCGGAAGTTATACAAAATAAAAAAGTGACAAAAATATTTTATTTTATGAAATAATCAATAAATATACACAAATAAATAAAAGTTATCGATAAGAGAGAGAAAATAAAATGTGTAATCAATATTGAGACGAAGAGAGTATTTATTTCTAAAATGATAAGGAATACTCTCAAATTAATCGTTAATATTAGACCTGGCAAAACAGTGGGTCAAGTAGGGTTCGGGTTAGGTATTATCGTATTCGGGTTATTTTGTGTTCGGGACTTCGGGTCACTTTGGGTTCGTGCTAAGAATGCTTGTTCATGACCCATAATAATCAAATTCGGGTTGATCCAACAGGTTAAGAGGCGTATTTAAAAATTAAAATTTTTATTATTTAGAAATCAAGTTATCAATGCATTATTCAAAACAAAGAACGAAATCACAAAAGTTTGCATGTTTACATGCAGCATACCAACAGAAAATTATAATCTTCGTAAAAAATTGATTTTTTACAGCATAGAAAAAAAGTTGCAGTAGATGAAAAAAATTGAAAATTCTTTCATCATACCACAAAAAACATATACATTATATAAAAAAGTTGAGATTCTTGTAAGATACCAAAACAAAACATTGCAATAGATGAAAAGTCAGATTCTTGTTTATATTTTAAACATGGTACCATCATTACATTTTTTGTATGATGTATCAGAACATGTATTGTCATTACATAATTACAACATACAAAAAAATGCAGTATACTCAAAAAAATACACGATACCAAAAATATTTATAATATACCAAAAAATTTAAAAGAAAAGAAATAAAAATTGAATAAACCGTAGACGCAATTGAAGAAGATGAAATGGAATTTGAAATTTCACTATTGTTCTTGTGTCTTCTCACCATTTTGATTGAATCGACACCTAATATCGACAGACACTGGATTTAGATTAATTTTATACCTTTTGAGTTTTAAATAGTCAAATGGTATATCATATTTTAAATGAATATATAAAACTAAATAACTAATAAAAGTAAACAATTACTACCTCCGTCCCACTCTTTTTGTCCAGTTTTGATTTTTGAAACTGTTCATCTAAGCACTTTGACTCATCAAATTCTCTCAATGTGTAAGTCTAAAAATAGTCATGTATGATCTTGTTTGATTTGTCTTAACATATAGATTATTAATATATAATTTTTATAATTTTTTAATATACAAATTACAAGATAAAATGAATTAAAAAAGTGCATTAGATGTTGTGCAAAAATGAAAGTGGACAAAAAGAGTGGGACGGAGGGAGTAAATGCTTAACCCATCAGGTCAAACCCGACCCGACCTGATCTAAAAATTTAAAAGTCAACTAAATTTGAAGGGTGAGATTGAAGGGTGCAATGGATTTGGGTTGGACAAGGGGAGGTTTACCGAGGGGTAGGAATCATAAACTTTACACTTGCCAACCGATCCTATATTCATCTCCATTTTTTCTAAAACATAATAGAAGATACAAGTAAATTAAATTGTGCATAAATAAACCTTCAACATGAAAAAATGAAAGAATTAGACTTAGTGTACCTCAAAAATTGCACCAACAATTTGTACTAGTGTGATGTTAGTGTGTTTGTTTACACTGACACTAAATGTGATGTTAGTGTGATTGTTTACACTAAATGTCAGTGCAATTTTTTTAATTGAACTAACATTTTGTGATAGTGTAAACCGTTAAAATACTGGTCCATCCCCTTGGGGTACACTACCCCTAGCATTGTTGAAAACAAAAACATTATTAAAGGGTTAAATGCTTGGAGATCTGAATCTGCGAACTCAGGAAGAGATCATATACACAACCACTACAATTTGTACAACACAAAAAAAAACTTAACACAAATGGTTCAGCCAAACACAAATACACAATCTTAAGCATCTTACAAGAATTTTTCCTCCCTACAAAACACTACATCAAGAAATGACAATGGACATGAGTTGCTGGGACTTAACATAAGCACCTGCAAAGAGAAGAGGAAGAGTGAGTCATCTATTTCATAATCTGTTCCATTTTCATAATCTTTTTGGTAAGTGTACTTTAAAAAAAAAAAACTGTTCACATATAGCTAGGGCTCCTTCGTATCGTTATTTGTTTTGTTCAAAACTAAAAAACAAGATTATGAAAACCAGAGAAATGTATGTTTCAGTTTGCTGCAGTTTTTTTTTGTTCTAATGAGATTCGGTGCATTTTAGTTTTCCAAACTAACATGATTTTATGTGTGACTTTTAGTTAATTATAGATTCAAAATCCTATACCATCATATACTTTCAAAAATAGTAAAACTAAAAAGGAAAACGGGCAGCATCACCGAACAGACCCTTATTTACTAATGTAGTGAGCAACTTAAATGACAGAAATGGGTCATGCTACAATCACACCACCAGTGACCCTAGGGTTAAAAGTAGCATTACTCAATAAAAATTCTTAAATGTATGGTAGACTATGCATAACCACTATTTTAGCATTTCATAGACAATAGTTTTTCAATGATTTTTCACATAATGAAAGTTTATGCGAGAAAATGTGTGTGATTTTCTCTGGTGTCAAACTTTGTGCCATCCCGGGTAAAAAGTAGCATTACTCGAAAGAAATTCATAAATGTATGGTAGATTAAGCACAACCAAAATGAACATTAAGGAACTTTACCAAATTGGCATGTTGCGTTATCTGATAGAGTTTGGCAATGCTTAATAAATGGCTCTGCAACTATTTATAAACAATCTCTGCCGTTGGGGATGCACGCTGGAATTGTGTTAGCTCTTGTAGTATCACATTTTTCTTTCCAAAATCATGTCAAAGTCGGTTAGAAGTTCCATTTTCTTGAGCCCGGGGGATTTGATTAGTAGAAACTTAACAAGTTCCATTTGGTTCCTTGTGCCGGCAAAACATGTGAAGTCCACCACCCTTAGCTGATCCAGTTTTATGTCATAATATTCTTCTACGTCCACCAGCTTGAAGGTAGGAATTGCCAAGGCACTTGCACTATCATCCGTGCATATCTATAAAGCAGAAACAAATAACAAACAAACCCAATAAGATCCCTCAGAATTCAGAAAGTAGTGTCACGGGAGGGTATGCGTACACAAACCTTACCCCTACTCGGAAGTAGAGAGGCTGTTCCCAAGAGACCCCTCACTGAGACAGATAAAGCAAAAGCAAAAGCAAATGTATGTACGGAGTAGTATATATACTCCCTCCATTCTTAATTTTTCTTCCCACTTTCTTTATTTGTTCGTCCATAAATTTTCATCCTGTTTCTATTTTTAGCAAATGTGTTTTCTTTAAAGGTCATTACTACCCTCACCTTTTACATATTAATTACTACCGACCCCTACACTGTTTTTCACATTTTTCAATTACCCAATGGAAAGTATGGAAAGTCTAATTATTTTTTTAGTTTTCCTCTATTTGCGTGTATAGTCAAAACGGGAAGACAAAAAATGGATGGAGCGAGTATTAGAAAGATACTCAAGATTTAACAATCGCTTGCAACAACACTAGCAGTCCCATTACATTGCCACAAAGTGGGTCTGGGGAGGGTATGTGCATGCAGACCTTACCCCTACTCAGAGAATAGAGAGACTTTTCCAAAATACCCTCGGCTCAAAACACATGATCACAACGACAAAGAAAAGTAGCACGAAAAAAACGTAAAAACCACTCATTAAAACAAACACTCATGCAAAAACTATAAACTAGAAAGGCACTAAAGCACACAGACAAAAACTACAAACTAAAGCCCAAAGGTCTATCCTACCACCCTAATCTTAAACATCTAGATGCCCCTACCATAACATACTAATCTCAATTAAAATATTACCCCTATGGCCCTATCATAGCATTCTCATCTCAATTAAAGTATAAAATAAGGCACAAAAGCCCATATCACTACTACGTGCAATTAATAAATATATTGATTACTCACAGTCATAGTGAGTTCTCGCAAGTTTGGTGAGATCCTAATTAGGCAAAGTAAACATGAAATCCCCACAAATTCGTCTAAGCAGAAATGTTCAAGCTCAAGCCTGTTAAGGTGGACTAAGGTAAAGCTAGGCCTTGTTGGGATTCCACCTGCAGCTACAGACTTCAAGAGAAAGCCAAAAGTGAGTTTTGATATTAGCATTAAGAAATGACAAGGGTTAGCAGAAATCAACAAAGTACCACTTTCCATACCTCCATAAAGAAATTATCAAAGCATAGTACTCTAAGCTCTGGCAGAGAATTTAATAGCTCAAAAAATTTATAGTTCTCTAGTAACAGGCTTCTTTCTTCCTCCATATCACGAGGTGGGAAGAAATAGAAAATTACGAATTCTTCAAGAAGAGGTGAATTCTTGAAAGAAACGGATTTTATTCTGCTTTGAAATCTAAAGCGCTTAAGTTTAGGAGCTTGAACCTCAAGGGCTTCATATGTGTCAGAGACATGTAGCGTCAAGTTTTCAAGTAAGGGGCAGCAAGCAACAAGGCCTTCAAGCTGTTCTGAACCAATGGCTACCCCCCACATGGTAAGAGTGACAAGCTGGCTAAATCCGGTGAACCCAGAAGGTGGATGAATGGAGCAAGAATAAAGCTTCACATGTTTCACTTTCTGAAATCTAAAGAACGAAGAAGGTAACTTATGCTCATCAGAGCCAAGGATAAGTCTGAGCTTTTCGATATCGCTACGCTTTGAAAGCATGTGCAGTATCTTGTTAATCTCAGCACAATCTTTCAACCCAGGAATTGAAAATGTGAGCTTAGTGATAGGACCTTCATGAGACAGTAGAACATTAAAGATGCATCTAAGACATTTGAGAAGTGCCAAGTCCTCGCTGACACTTGATCCTGGCCACAGTGTCCCATCAAGTTTAAGATGTGGAAGTCTAGTCCATGCAAATCTCCAATTTCATGAAAGCGCACTTGTCCTAACAGCATCTCGAAGAGGCAAACAGATTAAGATGGATTCCTTTAAACTGTCGGGAAGGTTGCTGATGATATCATGGTGATAATTTTTACCATTCGCCATTCTCTGAAATAGTGAAATGACCGCGTTAAACTACTACTTACAAGTGAATGCATATATACAACCAAAGAGATCAAGAGCCAGTGACTTTAATTTAGGGACACATAGACTATGAATTTTTGACAGTAAATGTAGCAATGCAGCTAGGCTCTAGTAAAAAATACTCTATAAAACAAGTGTAAGATTGAGTAGATCTTGATCCCCAAACCCCACAAAGTAAGCATTGCAGTATTATTCCGAGTTGTTGTTGTTGATTAGTGATATGAATTGTGCATGGAAAAGGGATATCGAACTTAGGCAATGATAATTTTATTCAGAAAAGTCGAATTAGAAAAACAACCGACCCAGATGGGGTACGCCACGGGGGTACACATACCTTCCCAACCTAGAAAAATAGAGAGCTTGCTTCCTAAAGACCTTGGCCTAAACACAAGTGGAATCACAACAATAATGGTTTGAGTATAGAACATTTCCTTGGCCTACGAACATACATTTTAGCCTTCAGTTTAGTTGGTTCTTTAACATGGTACCAGACATTGTCCTAAAGTTCATGAGTTCGAACTTCACTCTCAGGCAACTTTAAGAAATTAATGTTATGCCGAGCATAAACAAATCTTGCCTGCATGTTAGTAATTTGTACGACACTTAGAGCATAAAAATCTTTCCTAGACCTACAACTACAAATTCTTGGTTGAATTGTTATTGTCATTAATTAATACAATAATGCCAATAACGTTCCTGCACAAAAAAAAAATGAAATCAAAATTTCACAGATGATAGACCAACTCGGATCACTATTAGCAACAACAACAAAAAAATGGAATTCGGAAGAACACTTGATTAATAACCGGATTCTCGAAGATACAGCTAAATTAAATACAGAAAGGTGCTTTAAGTACCAGATGAACAAGAAAAGAGTGAGCGGACGAGTCATTAGAAATCTATTGAACATTAGGCGAAATGAATGCTTCCAAAGGTTTACGAGAATGAATGTGCAGACGGAAATGAATCAAATGGCAAAAATATAGGACACAACATCCACTCTTTTTCTTTTGTACAAACTCCTTGTCTAATTACGACTTTTTTTAGTCAAAATAGGAGAAAAAGTATATTTAGTTATTTCTTTAGATTTTTCAGGTTCTTTTACGGTATTAATCACTGGGTTAAATTTTATCTAATTTATTTACTTATTTACTTATTTATGTTGCCAATTTGGCAAAATAATATAGTCATGTTATCACTGGTTTTAAAGATCTTTAAATACATAATTTTCATTTTTTAATTTCGCATCATTTTTAATATAAAATATATTTAAAATAACTTCAGTCAAATATCGTAACGCGAACTAAGAAAAACCTGAAGAGACGGAGGGAGTATAATGTAAATTTAGTAAAATTAGATTTATTTTAAAATATAGTTTTGAAATATCAAATTTTTATAGTACTTAATTATTATAAAATATATTTATTTCTTAGTCAAATGATGCCACAGTTTGTCCAAAAAAGTCAAACTGTGATAATCTTTTAGGGATGAAAATAGTAATTTTTTATTCTCACAAAATAATTATACTTTCACTTTTCACTCATTCCAAAAATACTTTCATTTTCTATTAAAAAGTTTTTTTACCTTACTAACTTTTATGAAACTCATTATATATAACATCATAACTATTCATTACTTTGTACTAATCTATCTATTACATCTAAAATTAAAATTAAAAAATAACTACGAAATATACACGCTTTAAATTTGCATAAAGTAAAAAAAATTGAATTCTCTTGCGAACCGAAAGGGAGTATGTAATGAATCGTAGGAGTGGGCAAGAATCTCGATCCTGTTGTCCCGACATGATGGGTATGAAATAGATGCATGCAGGATTTATAGTCGCTTCAAAACTTACCGTTTCTATTTGGATTTGCCTTTAGTTACGGAGTACTGTGCTTTTTTCTAATTACGTAGTTTAAGACCATAAATAAATTTCTTAATTTGATTTATGATGTTGAAATTATTCTTGATCCAGATTTATATGATCACGAACACTGGTGTAAAATATAAACTACAAGTTTGTATTTAAAATGTCAAGTGCATACTTTCATAATCAATCCAACAATATGTTTCATGTTGTACATGATAATATCAGCTGGATTAAATATACATCAATCAATGATAAAAAATACAAAATAATTAAAATACATTTACAAAGTTTCAACTTGGGCCGGAAATAAAACATCCGCAATTGATCCCACCAAAGAGCTTGTATCATGGGCTAGAGATTTCAGCCATACACTTTTCTTAAGTTTCGTGATGAAGTTGTATAACTTATTTCCGATCCGAATAAAGGGAGTATTTACTCTGCCTGTTTTCCAAAATTAGAAAACAAAAAGCTACAACTCTTATGAGTGCTATATAAGTTTTCTATTCTTCAAGTAAAGTAGAAAAGTATGTTTTTATGATAGGAGCTTGGAGTGGGTTGATGGGTAAAAAGTAAAAACCACTTTATAGTTAAACGAAGCACCATAAGGACCGACATATTGGACCTAACTCGCATACCCATGAGCCTACAAACTCTAAATTGCAAGAAGAAATAGATACTATAAAGTTATAAACTACAATAAGTACAAATTTAAAAAACTTAAGAGTGCATTAATGGTTCAGCCAAACACAAAGACAATCTTAAGCATATTATAATGTTGCCTCCCTAAAACACACAACATCAAGAAATGATAATGATGGAGGGCTCAACATAAGCACCTGCAAAGAGAAGAGGAAGAGTGAGTTATCTATTTCATTATCTACCCATTTTCATAATCTGGTTAGTAAGTGTACTTTTAAAAAAATTAAGAAACATTTTACTCAGAGTTAGGGCTCATTCGGCATCGTTTTTTGTCTTGTTCCAACTAAAAACAAGATTACGAAAACCAGAAAAATGTCAATTTAATGTATAGTATTTTTGTTCGAATGGGATCCGGTGCATCGTTACTTTTCAAAATCAACATGAGTGTACAAGTATGAATTTTTTAAGTTCATTATAGATCCTATATCATCATATGCTTTCAAAATCAGTAAAAAAGACCTTTATTTCACAACTTACAATTTGTACCCATGCATGGAGTAGCTAAAATAACAAAAATGAGTCATGCTACAATCGCACAATGTTGGGGTCTGTTCCGTTCACCTTATTACTTGTTCTTACTAAAATCAGTTCAGGCGAACGGAACGTAGTCTTAGTGTTTCGTAGACAATAGTTTTCAATGATTTTTCACGGAATGACAGTCTGTGCGAGAACATATGCGCGATTAGTGTCATCCCTGGGGTTAAAGTAGCATTACGCAATAGAAATGCATAAATCATAAATGTATGGTAGATTAAGCACAACCATAATGAACAGTAAGAAACATTACCAATTTGGCATGTTGTGACATCTGACAGAGCTAAGCAATGCTTAATGGAGTTAATGGCTCCCTTATCTATAAACAATCTCTGCCGTTGGGGATGCACGATGGAATTGTGTTAGCTCTTGCAGTATCGCATATCTTCTTTCCAAAAGTATGTCAACGTCGGTTAGAAGTTCAATTTTCTTGAGCCCGGGGGATTTGATCAGTAGAAACTTAACAAGTTCCATTTGGTTCCTTGAACCGGTGAAACATGCCAAGTCCACCACCCTTAGCTGATCCAGATTGATGTCATTGTATTCTTCAGCACCCACCAATTTGAAGGCAGGATCTGCCAATGCACTTTCACTGTCATCTGTCCATATCTATGAAGCAGAAACAAATAAGAACAATGAACAAACCCGGTAAGATTGCCGAGAAAGTATGGTATGGGGAGGGTGTGTATGCAGACCTTACCTCTACTTGGAAGTAGAGAGGCTGTTTCAAGAGACCCTGGCTCAAACTCATAAAGCAAAAGCAAATGGGTCAAAGAACTTGACCACAAAGTCAACTAAATTTCAGAGTCGAAATTGATGGGGTTGGGGGGTGGGTACGGGTTGGTCTGGGTGGGGGTGTGGGGTTTACCGGGGGATTAGGGGGTAAGAAACTTCAATTTTGCAAACAGAGCATCATAAGTGCTCCAAAAAGGTTGTGCCAAAACAGTGTCAACTAGAGCTAGTGGCTCTAGAACCCTTCCGATACCTATATGTCAGAAACTCAAGATTTTACACCTGCTTGCAATAACCACAGCTCCTAGTAAACTACATGGCTAAGTAGGTCTGTGGAGGGTATGTGCACGCAGTCCTTAAACCACTGAAAAAATAGTAAGGCTATTTCCAAGAGACCCTCGGCTCAAAAGACATGATCACCTCAGACACTGATAATAACAAACACTCAGACAAAAGCTATAAACTAAGGCACGAATGCACACTGACAGAAACTAAAAACTAAAGCCTAAAGGTCAATCCTACCACCTTAGAGATCCAGACGCTCCTATCATACCATTCTCATCTCGATTAAAATATAAACTAAGGCACAAAAGCCCATTTCTAAAATGCTTGCAATAAATAAAAAGATTGATCACTCACAGTCATTGTGATTTGCCGTAAGTTGGGTGAGATCCTAATTAAGCAAAGTAAACATGAAATCTCCGCATATGAGTATGAGCAGAAATGTTCAAGTTCAAGCTTGTTAAGGTGGACTAAGGTAAAGCTAGGCCTTGTTGGGATTCCACCTGCAGTTACAGACTTCAAGCGAAAGCCAAAAGTGAGTTTCAATATTAGCATTAAGAAATTGCGACGTGTTAATAGAAATCGACGGAATACCAATTTTTATACCTCCATAAAGCAACTATCAAAACATAGTCTTCTAAGCTGCGGCAGAGAACTTATTATCTCAAAAAAATTATATTTCTCTAATGACGGGCTTTCTTCTTGCTCCATATCATGAGGTGGGGAGTAGTGGGAAATTACAAATTCCTCAAGAAGTGGAGAATTCTTGAAAGAAACAGATTTTATTCGGCTCTGAAATATAAAGCGCCTAAGTTTAGGAGCCTGAATCTCAAGGGTTTCATATGCATGAGAGATTTTTAGCTTCAATTTTTCAAGTAAGGGGCAACGAGCAACAAGACCTGCAAGCTGTTCTGAGCCAATGGCTACCCCCCACATTGTAAGAGTGAGAAGCTGGGTAAATCCGATGAACCCATAAGGTGGGTGAATGGAGCAGGAATAAAGTTTCACATGTTTCACTTTCTGAAATCTAAAGAACAAAGAATGTAACTTATACTGGTCAGAGCCAATATTAAGTGTGAACTTCTCTATATCATTACGCTTTGACAACATGAAAAGTATCTTGTCAATCTCAGGACAAACTTGCAACCTAGGACATGAAAATGTGAGCTCGGTGATAGGACCTTCGTGAGACAATAGAACATTCAAGATGCGCCTAAGATATGTGCAAAGTGCCAAGTCCTTTCTGGCAAATGATCCCGGCCACAGTGTCCGGTCAAGTTTAAGATGTGGAAGTCTAGTCCACGCAAATCTCCAATTTCTTGAAAGCGCACTTGTCCTAACAGCGTCTCGAAGAGGCAAACAGATTAAGATGGACTCCTTTAAACAGTCCGGAAGGTTGCTGATGATATCATGGTGATAGTTCTTATCGTTCGCCATTCTCTGAAACAGTGAAATGAACATATGAAACTACTACTTACAAGTAATGCATATATATACAACCAGAGAGATCAAGAGCAAGCTTCTAAAGCATGGAGTCTGTAAGACTCTAAGAAAGACAAATACACGGTCATTCTGATGGAGATTTTATCAAGGAAAGGAGTTTAAAATATGGAAAGAATACTATAATTGATTTTAGGAATATTGCTCTCTTAGTATGAAAGATTTGATCCTAGGGTTTGGTTATACTTAGTATAAATATGACGTTGATGACTTGATGAATGAGAATAATAACAGTGACAACTTTAACCCCATATAATTTATCACATTCACAGGGCAGGCCGCATTAGATCAACAATGGCAGCTCAAACTCAGGTTGTTAAGCTAACTGCTAACTCAAATATCTTCTTTGGGATAAGGCAGTCAATGATTATTTAGAGCAAATATTAAAGCCAAACAATACGCGGCAGCGGCAACAACAACAATAACAATGGCAAACCTTCGTATGCAATGAGTTAGATATGACAAACAAACACCAAGAGAAAACTCATGGTGAGGGAATCAAACTCTTGGAAAAACTCTAAAGTGTTAAGAAGCCTTTAAAAATTACGGAGTTCAAAAAAAGATTAGTGACTTGTATATAGCCAATATATGGTACGAAACAACATCCGAATAGAATCTCACGAAAGTAGAGTTTGGGGAGGGTGTGTGTACACATATCTTATCCTTACAAAATGCACAAAGCACGAACAAAAAAAAGCAAAGAACAAACTTATAAGGGTAAATAAAAGCACAAAGAGACAAAAAGCACAAAACATTGAAAGCACACAAATGACAAGAGAAAAAACAATCACCAAGGCCCAACTGGATACCCAACCATCCCAATCTTAGATCTCCAGATGCTCCTATCTAAGATTCGTATCGTCTTGGCCAGAAATCTTAAGCCATGTGTAATAACCTCTTTATAATTCTTCCTAGGTCTACTCCTACCCCACCCCGCCCACTATCGTAAGCCTCTCTCATCCACCCCCAGTTTGCCACACATCCACCACAACATCTGCATCTCGACGGCATGCAATCGACTAACATGAGTTGACAAAGCTAGTTGATTAATGGTAATCCTCAGTAATTTTTCAGCAAAAAATCAATCTTTCACATTTTTACAAATGATAAGCCAACTCGGAGGACAATTAACAACAAAAAGAATTGCAATTCGGATGAACACGGTAATAATCCCTAGATTCTTAAATCGAATCAAATCAACTACAGAAAGATGCATTAGATAGCATATGAACAAGAAAAGATTCTGCGAAGGTTTCATCAAGAAATCAATTGAACATTAGGTGAAAGCATAGAGAATTTACTTCGAACTCGGAAGGGTGAAGTGGTGCCCTGTCGTCGATTTTCCGCACCAGCCAAAAAAAGGGGGGATTTTAAATGCAAAAATTGAGAAACTTACGGGGTTTTAACTAACGACTAACGAGGAATTTGATGTTTCAGAGAGAGAGAGAGACAGCTGTCTATGGACCTGGAACATAGTAACTTTTTTAAATACTCCGTATGACAAAATAATTCTTCAATCAACGTAAATTCTTCAATCCTCCCTCCCCAATTTGATTTACAAGTTAGAGTTTACTAAGAGGAATGTCTTACTTTTTAAAATCATTTTATTTATAAATTGGTATATCGATAAGAAATAAAAATTATATATTAAAAAACTACGTCAAAAGTTCTACAAAACAAGAGGTGACAAAAATATTTTTTTTATCAAATACTTAATGAAATCACGTAAACAAACAAAAATTATCGAGAGGAGATAGAAAAAAATTGTAATCTAATTGGGGACGGAGGAAATATTTATTATGCTCTAAAAGCAAAGATTAGTCTGCTAGTTTTGAAGTCAATTTTTGTTTAACCATGCTATACTTACACAAAAAAGTATACCCCAAAGATACACCACATGTATATACTAACATTTAGATGGTTGACAATGATACAAAATACTCGTGCGTTAATAAAAATTTGTACTAATATTTTGTGCTTGTGTGAACTATCACCCTAGCATTACATTGGCACAAACTGAAGGTGCAAACCTGCAGTGTACAAATTGGGTTACAAATAGCTTAATCCATTTTTGTTTTCTTAAAAAAAGAGCAATGAAAAACACTACCAGTTTTAAAACTTTAATATTATTTTCATTTTTCTTTTTTAATAATCAGCTGCTAATTACGATGTACAATAGAGTGCTTTTATTAGTTGGGGAATAGTTCGCCCCTAATAATGCTTTAAAATAAAAATTATTAAATTAATATTGAAATATGTGGTATGTTCCACCGGTATTTAAAAAATGAAAAATAAAATCAATAAAAATCGACAATATTGTCCCCCGCTCTAAGTTCAAAAAAAAGAAAAAAAAAATGATATCGAAACCGGCAAACTAGTCTTCACTTTTAGAGCATAATGAATATGAAAATCAATAGATATACCCGCTACTATTTATACAAAAGTATGATACTCCATCCGTCTTAAAACATTTTCTCACTTCCTCTCTCTTAGTCTCCTCTCTCTCGCTTTTAGAGCAAAAGTATGATACTTCATCCCACATGTCGAGATTCAAGATTGAGATAACCGTCATCGATCGGAGTTGAGCCGGGATTGAACTAGAGATCTGGTTCGTTGCTAGATTTTGATGTGAGGCGGCGGAGATTGGCGATTATATCGGTCAGGATTGGACTGGTGAGTTGGTTTTTGTTGAGAAGGAGGCGGCTCAGCATTTGGAGATCCCCGAGATTTTTGGGGAGTACGCTGGAGAGTTGGTTGCTACTAAGATCTAGGTGCCTTTAGCTGCTCAGGTTGACGATGGAAAGAGGTATGCAGACGGAGATTTGGTTATCGGCGAGTTTGAGTACAGTGATCAGTCGGGTCAGTCAACTGGCCAATGTTGGATGGAATCGGGTCGGTGATATGGTTCCCGATAAGGTCGAGGATGCGGAGGTTGGGAGCACGGCGTTGCATGGCGAGATCTCGCTAGAGACGACGTGTTCGATGTGTAAGGAGGGACAAAATTGGAATAAGCAAAAGTAACCAATCCCTTAAAATGGGTTTTAGTCAATGCAGGGAGATGATTTTAGTACGAGGGAGTAACACATGGATCATTGCTTGGCTTCCAGAGCGTAAAAAATAAAAAGAAAAAAGTGAAGAAACCGATGGACTAGTCCTCTAATATATAAGAAAAGAAAAAACTTAAATAAAAAAATTGCAGACCATGTAACATGTGATTAAGTAAGGGTCTAAAAAAACTTGTTACATCATTCGAAAATAAATTATGTGATAGGTGATTAGACAAGTGTAATGGCGTGGAGAGTAATATCATAAAATATATAAATTGTAAGAGTGACAGTGTTATTTATTAAGTTTGAGAATATTGACGTAAAATACAGAATTTGTTAGTGTAAATTTTTCCAAGACCAAATTCCTTCAATTTTATGGAGAAAAATGAGAACTTTTATTCTTTTCCTTCTTATTTTCTTGAACCAAAATTCATTTTTTAATAGATTTTATCCTTCACTTTACAAAGTTGCTTCCAATACCAACAAGAATTGTGGGGGTAAAAATGACTTTCTAACGACAAGCCAAAAATCCTTTCACTAAATTACATGTTACATCGTATTCAACCTGCATCTTTACCTACCTAGTTACAAAAAAAGAAATAAAAAACAACAGCATTTTCTTTCTTGGATGAATGTAGACATGATGTGTGTCCCTATTATACCCAAGGAAACTACCCTGGACTTTTATTATATATAAAAAATAGAATGAATGTAGACATATTGTATGTCCATATTCATTCTATTTGTGATGCATCGCAAAAGTCACAATCATCAGCTAAATGTGAATGAAGGTTGTCAATGAGAGTAAAGAATCAATGAGCCGATAAATTGTTGCTATGAGACTGGTGTTCATTATCTCAATATGTTTTTTCACTACCCTTGATTTCCCACATCAACAGAGAATGATAAGGATTGTTCACAGGCCTGAAATGAGAAAAAAAAATCAAAAAGGTCATGTGAGAAAACACGTTTTAGACCATATTTTGTTCTACGAGTCTGTGTACATGGCTGCTGCCAGGGCAGCAAAAGAAGCTGTTTGGATCTGGAAGTTCATCACTAAACGGAACTTAATTCAAACCAAACTTATGCAGATGTGTTCATCACTACCTTCACTTGGATGAGGGGGGAAATATGATCAATCTTCGTGTTCGTCGTTTTCATCCTCAGAATCTACACCCAGTGAACAATATTACATGACCATACAATCGAAAATTCCATTCATAGTCTAAGGATAACAGCTTTAACAACAAAAAACATTGAGGTAATGAACACTAGTCTCATAGCAACAACTTATCATCTCATTGATTCTTTACTCTCATTGACAACCTTAATTCACATTTAAGTGCTCATTATGACTTTTGTGATACATCAAAAGTAGAATGAATGTGGACATACATCATGTCTACATTCATTTCATTTTTTATGTATCATAAAAGTCATAATGGCCCCTTAAATATGAATGGTTAGAGCAGTGTAGTATGTAGTATTAAAAACCCAGTCTTATTCCTTACCAGAACGAACATCATCGCTGACTTGGCCTCTTGATTGGATCTGTTTGACAAGCATCCTATACATAAGCACCCACCAATATATATGCAGAACGAGCAAACAAAAGAGAAGAGAATTGAAGACGTAGTAGTATATTGGTCCTTCCACTTTGTGTTTATCCTTGTTCAATGTCTGTACAACTTCATAGCTGCGCATTTAGAGGAACAAGAAAGAAGACTTTCAAAATGCTAAGCTTGTCGGTTTTGATTAAACTAAAGCAAAGGAACGATAAGGAGAAAGATATGACTCACCTTGTGCTCCATAAAACCCAAAAAGGGAAGTATATGAGGCGGAGAAGGATCCATGACAAGACAAAAAGAATGAATGAAAAGCTGGCAAGAACTTCGGCGCCGCTATATTTAGACATTTTTGCGATTTCCAAAAGGATGTCACTGGCATCATGAATGGCTAAAACAACCGAACCAACACGAGCAAACCTTAGCAAAACAAACAAATAAGATAAAAATAATGATGGGTCTACAAGAGATGATTAATGAGGGTCCCACCAAAAGGCTGCTTCTAGATCTCAGAATCCATACCTTGTGGGGTCAATCACTGCTTGTTTGATTGCAACTGCCCAACCAAGATTGGACAACTGTGATTGAGACGAGCGGTCATTGTCTGTTTTTATTTCTGTTACTTAAATTTTACTTTGTCTGTGTTTGTGTTTGAGCCGAAGTCTCTTGTAAATGACCTCTCTACTTCCGAGTAGGGCAAGGTCTGTACACACACACACACACACACACTCTCCTCATACCCTACTTTTTTTTGGGATTTCACTGGGGTTGTTGTTGTTGTAAATTACGTGTCTTCAGAACAAAGAAAACATCAACTCCAAAAACACACACCTGAATATATATGACAATACAATGAGAACAGCGGTGGCAACATGGTGGCTCATTGAAACCCCAAAGTCAGAGCGCCTCGTTTCCCAAAATATAAGGGCAAATATGGAATACGTGTAGAACCCACCAGCATACATATAAAGAGCCTTCAACTTGTACCTACATTCAAAAACCAAACTAGCTTTGTGAATCCAATGATCATACGTTGGGTTCATACGTTGGAGAGACATTACATGTTCACTTATCATTCCATCAACCACAAAGAAAGCTAAAGCGTCCGTTGGGAGCCCACAAAATATTAGAGAAAGAAGATATGAAAGAAAATTAGACGCAAAATAAATGATAAACTCATTAATAAATTCATATTAGATATTTGTTTAAAATTACTCATGACTTCATTTATGTCTATTATGTAAAAACTAGGACTAATGATATCAAAAAATGGTTTGATCATTTTTTCCCACTGCATTTACATAGTAAAGGAAAACATAAGAAAATGACTTTCATTAGCATTCATGCTCCCCCTGTATAGTGTTTTACCGAGATCCAAACGGACCTTAATAGAGCTTGAAATGAGAGAAGAATGTCAGCAGGCACAAATGTGCATGAAAGAAAAAAATCTACAAATACCATAAAAATCTTACTTGTATTTCTGGTCTGGCCAGAACTGGTCGTCAGGCCCTACCCAGAAGCATTTTGTTTTTGTGAACCAAGGCTCATTGTAGGTAACAGCAATGGCAAAAATTTCAGCTGATAGAAAATACACAAATTTCCATGCCGATTCCTTGAATTTCTGTATCTTTTTCCTTCGTTCATCAGTTTCAATCTCCAGCATCTTCTGTCCCTTAGCAAATATGAACTGTCTCGCAAGATTCTACAACATGTATATGGAATTCAGATTTAGTTTGATTACCTAAGAGAATACTAGAATACTACTTAAGGAAGTTACAACATAGGGATAACTCTGATAAATGGTACCTTTTGCTGTATGTAGTGTGTAGTTCTCATACCTCATGTGTCATACTCATTATTTTCTTAAAATGTTTTCAAAGTTCTACTCATATGTTAGGCTGTCAAAGCTCATTTTCAACATCTTAATCCCAAAATTCTGTCATTTATACATTGTTAACCAAATGCACATTAACTATTAAAGAAAATGATGAACACATTCACACATTGACACATAATGAGTTTTTTTAAAGTTTAAAGGTGCAAAACAAAAAACTCATTTCTACATCACCAATTGAACAACAACCCAGTAAAATTCCCCGAATGGTGTCTAGCTTGACTAATTGAGTATACACAGACCATATATACCCCTACCTCAAAAACTCATTTCTCCATCAAGAAAGAAAAAAGGTCAAAATTTTGCTAAGCTTATCAGTTTTTTCTCTTCTTCCCCACACAGTAGGAAGCTCATTTCTACATCTAGAATAAAATCAAGAAACAAAAAAGATCAAACTTTTGCTAAGTTAGCCAGTTTTTTCTTTTCTTCCCCGCACAGCAGAAAGCTCATTTCTACACCAAGAATAAAAATAAAGATATTAGAGAGTATCCCACAGGTGGTACTAAGTAATCAAGAACTTATATACCGATCATTTTCTTCTCATTTTTCCGGTGTCGGATACTCTCTAATATTCTCCCTCAAGTGGACAACCAGGTCATTCTCAATCTAACTAATTGACCACTTGCTAATGGACGCCCATGACCCATCCCCTTGATTTTGTTTTTTGAGCGCCAACACCTAAATGACCACGAGCTGGGAATAGACTTCCAGACGAGCCGCTCGGAATGAACAACTAAACGGACACCTTGAAAGACGAAGCTTGTGATTGTGGCCAAGGATGATTTTTTATATATTCTAACACGCCCCTTCACGTGCAGGCGTAGTCTTTTCGAGCCTAGCACGTGAAACACTAATTTCGGGCAGCACTGAGTTTCGAAACCGTGACCTCTTAGTCTACGAAGCTCCGATACAATGTCAAAGAAACCAACTCAACCAAAAGATCAAATTTTTGCTAAGTACATCAGTTTTTTCTTTTCTTCCTTGCAGAGCAGGGTTTCATTTTTTTGCAGAGCAGAGTGTATACCATATAATCAATGACCAATTTCAAGAAAATTCAAACGAGTGAAACAGAAATAGCACCTCAAACACGAATCTATCGAGAAAGAATCTGATAGTGGGGAAGAACAACACGAACAGAGGAAGCAATGCGAAATCTTCATAGCTTGGGTAAGATTCAAATTCCCAATCATTCCAGGCCACCATTTCCAGAATCCCCATTTACCCAGATTTTTTCCCGAAAAAAGTGTCCCAATATAAATCCTACGCTGATAACTTGGGCGTGTGTATGCGACGAAGGCAGACAGGAGTCTGAAGGTTCATTGATGGCACTTGGAACCTGAGGATCCTGCACCACACAGACTGGTCCTGTGGGGTTTGGATCTAGCAGGATTGCACGAGGGACCCTGCATTTATATTTTCGAGGGAACCCTTTATTTATATGGAAACACCAAAAAAACTGATAAGCAATATTTCCACTATGTTTGTCACGTTAGATAAAATGAATTAAAATTTTAAAACAATTTAAGTTATTTGTTTTAAAGATTGATATATAATTAAAAAAATAAAATTTAAAAATTTTTCAAAGCATCACGTGAAAAAACATATTATTTCTTAATTTATTTAATTAAAAAGGTCTTTCTATTAAATAATTTTTTAAAAATATTTAAAAAAATTCATTTTTATGATCCTACACAGAAGTAATTCATATTTTGTATCTATTTTTAGTTTTTCTATTTTTTTTATTTCTTTTCTATTTGCACGGCACAGAGTAAAAAATCCAAAATATATTAAATTGATCAAAATAATTAAAAAATATGTATTTTATTCGGTCCAATCGTCTAGACCGGTTCGGTCCTAAATGTTTCTGTTTGATTTGGTCAAAACTCGAATGGATTTTGGTCCGGTGTTCGGTCCTTAATTTTATTTAATTTGATCTTCAGTCTGGTCCAGTTCGATCCGGTCTTAGAGCGATGAACAACCCTAACGAAACCTCACTAATATTTCATTTGTTTTTTTGAATAAGTTCCATTTGCAATCATTTTGATGGTTTATTTATAAAATTGATGATTCCTATGTCACCCAACTCTCTAGTAAACCCCTGCCCCAATCAATCAACCCCCTTAATCTCTTCAATTTCATCTACAATATTTTGTTAAATTTGGAGTCAAATTTTTCTTATCCAAAGTGAATATTATTTTCAAGATGAAATTGAAGGGGTATGAGGTGAGTTCAGGTCAAGCGGGTGTATGAGAATTATTCATTTGGAGGGTAAAAATCTTCACTTTTACAAACAGAATGTTGTAAATATATGTCCTAAAATTACACTAGAACCATAGTGTCATCCCCTCGGATGAAATATCAGCAATATCACTACATAATGAGTAATTTTCATAATTGGTCATTTATAACAGGGGGTTTCCTTATTTAGTCTTCTATTATCAAATATTACCCCAGTGGTCCTTTTTTTATGAGTATCTTTCCACAAATAGTCTTTTTTTATCTTCAATCATGTTGGTGTTAATTTGAGGGCTAAAAATATAATTTCACAATGATAATACATCTTTTTTGTCATACACAATTCCAAAGACTGTTCTGTTTGCGTCGTTTGTGAATTACAGTCGCTTTCTACTACAACCATAATCTACAAATGTGGTTTTTCGTCAGAATCCTAGCCCACAATCATAGTCATTATTTTTGTGTTATCTGCTTAACCAATATCAGAACATGTCACTAGACATAATGTTGATGTCAAATTATACTTTTAGCCTTTAAATTAACGCCAACATGACAGAAGATCAAAAAAAAGATCATTTGTGGAAAGAAACCCTTAAAAAAAGGACTACGAGGGTAATATTTGATAATAGAGAACTAAATATGTAAACCCCCTATTATAAAAGACTAATTATGGAATTTACTCTTACATAATTTATTTTTTTAATAAGAGTAACTTTTTTGATGGCCCAATACTGAAATGTTGAAAGCCTTTAAGAAGTTAATTAGTAATTACACATAGCCCATTAAAAACGGAAGCCCAAATGGTTTACCCGCCAATTTGAACCCATCACTCTAACTACCAACCTTCCAAACACAGTAGTGTTACTGCTACTGCAGAGGATAAAGGTCTTATCTCGTCCATTTCGCACCTCACACACTCTCCCTCCCATCCTCGCCGGCACAAACCTACCTCCCGCCGTGGAGCTTTCATCTCCGATGAACTCAATCTCCTCGCAAGGCGTTCATGTCTTCAGGATTTCGCCCTATGCTCGTGTTGGCAGCAGAAACACAAGGGTTTTCAAGCTCAACCTTCCCAACTTCTCCCGTCCTTCACGGAGCCTACACTTCCTCCGCCGCCCCAAACGCCCCAATTTTGAGGTCTGTTGATCTTCATTCGGCGTTCAAAATGATTTACAAAGGCATGTGCTTGAATTTTATTTGGTGTTCTGGATTTTGCTCAGGTCGTTTGGTGCTCGATTTGGGGAGATGGGGTCTTGGAGATTGAGGATGCAGCTTTAATAGTATCTACTTGTATTACCAGGACATTGCCTCCTGCTTTGACGCTGGAGCAAGGGTTGGAGAAGATTGAGAAAGCTATTACAGAGCTGAAGGAAAACCCTCCTTGTAGTGATGTGGGGATGCTAAGGTTTCAGGTAGTGTGGATCACCTCCTCTCACTTTTAAATTTATGAGCCATTTGTGATATTCCTATGAGTTCTGTCACGGCGCCATCAATTATGATAGAGGGACAACTAACTTCTTGCTTCTATTGGATTTCACCAAACTAGTCTTTTTTAGTGTAACTAGGAAAGTGATAAATGAGTGTAATATATATTCATGTAATGCTTGCACGTACTACTTCTGTACTTTGTGTGGTATTTTACTGGTTGTGTTGTTGTTTTTTGTTGTAATGGTTGCACACCTATGGCTCATTATATTTGCCTCAATGTTAAATGGAGTCTGTGGAGTTGGAAGTTTGAATGCTCGAGTCTAGAGACCGAAGTCTGGAAATCGATGCTTGAATTTTGGAATCTGGATGTAGTAGTACTTTTAATTACTTGTCCCTAAATAACCTTTACTTTACGATATTTGAGAGAAGTTATTTTCAATTCAATTTATTTGAATATTGGTACAAATATAAAAAATGAAATTAACATATTTAAAAACTACATCCAGTTTATATAAAAGTATAAAACAAAAGGTGACATAACTATTTTATTATAACAAATGATTAACATAAATAAGTAAATAAATAAGAAATAGTTTGACTGCGTGTATAATGAAGTTTATTTAGGTGCATGGGGAGTAAAATCTAGAAACTGGAGTATAGAGGTTGGAGTCTGTGTCTATCGGAACACTGGAACATAAAGTTTGGAAACTAGAGTTTGGAATCAGATGGCTAGATTTAAAAGTTGAGGATAACATACTCTAAGTAGTTTAGAAAGGAGAAGATATTACAGTGTTAATGTCAAGGAACCAACTCAACCAAAAGCTCAAGCTTGTGGTTGTGGCCCAGGAACAATTATTTATATTCTAACACGCCCCCTCACGTGCAGGCGTAGTCTTTTTTTTCGAGCCTTGCACGTGAAACCTTAATTTTTTAAACTGGGTGACACTGAGTTTTGAACCCGTGACCTCTTAGTCAACGAGGCTCCGATACCATGTCAAGGAACCAACTCAACCAAAAGCTCAAGCTTGTGGTTGTGGCCCAGGAACAGTTATTTATATTCTAACAGTTAATTTAATGAGAATATCAATTTTGAGTATACATCCACACCCCTTAAGATCTAATTGAATACATATTTTTCTGTTGATGGTTTTTTTGAACTCTTGATGGTTGTTCTTTAACTTCATAATTATAAGATTTTCTTAAATTCTTTATTTGCTTTGCTCATGCCACACTTTATATATAGGTTGCAGTGCCACCTAGTCCGAAGTCTTTGAGCTGGTTTTGCTGTCAACCAGAGACATCGGTCGTGTTTCCATTATTTTTTCTTTCCAAGGAGAGGGATCAAAAAACATATAAATCTCTTTCTTTGGGTAGAACCCGTGGGGTCTTTGGAATCGGGTCTACAATAATCTTTAAGGTCCTTTCTTCATCCAATAAGGGAAAATTGAATGAAATTGGAAGGTAGTTTTGACTCTTAATTGTTTCCTTAGCAATTTGATTGCAAGTGTTTCATAAATCATCGTTGCTCTATTATTAGTCTATCACCCTATTCAATTCTTTTTTGTAATCTTAAATTTCATGATAGTGTTATTATAGTGACTAATTTTTTTTAGTAACACCATGATATGATTAACATGAATTAGAGCCAGACTAGATATATTCTTGTGGATAGAAAAGGTAAATGCTATGCTTGTATAGAGTGTATGCATGGGCGCTCTGCACTGTGAAACTAACTCTGACATAGAGTAAAGAGAAAATGGAGTTACCTTTCACATCTACAACAACAATAACAACAACCACATTGAACTGTATAATCGCAACTCCATTGGGGTTTGGGGATCAAGATGTACAATCTCACCCTTAAAAAAATGGTGAGGTTTCTGTTAGGCCCTGATTGCATGAAAGCATTTGCTGTTCAAAACTTCTAAGAAAGTGAGAAACAAAAGAAGCTTAGTGGGCCATTTTGATTTAGCCCATTATGTTCACAAAACTAAAACATTGTAAAAAATGACTCTCTCAGCTTCATTGGCAATGGACATAAGTCACCTTTCAAACAATCACACTTATATTTGGCAATTGGAATAATTAGAATTCATCAAGGAGATTTTTCCTGTCAATCTCAAATCGGTGTGTTTGGGAAATTAGAACTTTTTATGAGTAAAGTTTGGCACACATCACTTGACATAGTGCAGTGTAAATAGTTTTTATTATTTAATTTGGTTCAAAAGATAAAACCAATCTAAATATAGATAGGGAGTGATTCATATCTGTGCATTTTTGCTAGTTTGAACAGTTAGCATGGGATATGCATGCCTTTTTTCTCTAGATGAGATCACATATGCACATTTACTCATTCCCATAAAAAAGAATAGAGGACACTTACTGTTTTGGAATGGGGTTGAACAAAATGTATTTTCACGATTGAAATATTTAGTAAAACTTGTACCTTTTATTCTTGTAATCCTAATGGTAGTTTTATGAATGGGTTTAAACAAAATTTATTTTAGCAATTGTAGGAGGATTTAGTGAAAGATGTCCCTTTACTCTTATTGTTCTAGTGATAGACCTCATAAACTTATAAATTTAAAGAAAGTTTACTAGATATTTCATTTCTCAATATTTGGTATTCCTTGGTAGGCATTTGAAACTTGTAGGCGCTGATTGCTTATTGGTTCTGTTAAAGTTTCACATTCCATGTGGAATGAAAACGGTACCATAATAGTTATGATGAATTGGTACTGTTGCAGACATTTTTACATTGATCCAAAACAAATAGAGGCTTATGGACTTTTTGGTACTGGTTCTGATAAAGTGATATCTTTCATGAAGCATGAGGCAGATGCTGTTTACTTTTTTATCCCCCAGGTAATTTTTTTATCCCTTGTTACACACTTTTTTTGTGTTTCCGTTGATGTTTTCGAACAATTTTTGAAACAAAATCATGATTACTTTTTACAGTTTCTTGATTTTGTTGTTGTATACGACTATTTAAGCTACTTATACAGAGTACTGTAAATTGAGAGAATTTTATATCCGTAGATCACACTAGATGAGGTTAAAGGTACTTCAATCTTGACAGTGCAACTGGCATGGAATGATGCGTCTATGCGCACCCTTGAAGAGGCTTTTCGAGCCTATGATGTCTGTTTTCTTCAGGTATTCTCTGAATCCTTTCTTTATGTGTCGCCAAGTTATTTTTCTTCTGAAGTTCAGTCATGGCCTAAAAGTTTAAATCTGAACAGGTGGGTGCTTCATATGTCATCTTTTCCTTTATGAAACTTTATCTGCACATTTTTTTCTGGTTATCTTTTATTTTTCATTTTATATTCAATTTTCAGGTTAAACAAAACTGTTTCATCAAATCAGGAAGATGCGGGAGCATATACATTAGCAGTACTTTTCAGAAACTTAACACGATAGAGGACGAAAATGTTGAAATGGTAGGTTAAAAGTCAAAACTTTATACGAGTCTCTTTGGTATTAAGGGTTACTTTTAAACCGCAATGGACACGATGACGATAAAATAAAACAAAAAGGACGATTGAGGGGGGGGGGGGTGTGTGTTTTTCTTCTTCTTCTTCTTCTTTTCTAGAAGTTTAAGCATTGAATTAAAAAACACATGTAGGACTAACAATTAAGACTCAGGTTAAATTTGTATATTATATTCAATGATGAGCTTTTCTAAAGATACAAACTTAAGTGGATATTCTTCAAATTCTTTCTGCTGTTAATTTCTTTGGTAGGTATGCATCAATCCACTACAGCTTGTTAGATGTTCCCTTGGAACAAACACTTTGGAACTGGTATGTGCTTTATCCTGGTAATTACTAATTATTGTTCGTTTAACTTTTGAAGGTTTTTTTGTCAATTACCAATGGAGCTAAAAGAGTCATCATTGATATTGTTTTATCTTTGAGCAAATAATGGACTCAATCCAAATGGCATATTAAACTTTCTCTATCTCTTCTAAGTTTTGGGTTGTTGTTGTTGTATCTCTTCTATGTTTTGGGTAGTAAATCTGGCAATGCATCAAGGATTCAAGGGTCTAATGAAAATAACCTTTTTATATTTACAAGTGTAAGACTGCATACCTCTTAACCCCCAAGACCCCAACGAAGTTAGGATTATACTAGGTTTTTTAATATTGTTGGGATTATACTGGGATTACTCTTTCCTGCACATAGAAAGTGGCCTTTTAATGTCTTCCTTTTACTGATGCAAACTGATCTAAAATCTATATGTATATAATTGATCTTTTTTCATGCAGCAAGATGCTTCCTTCTGTTCCCAACAGTTCTTCATGAGGATTTCACCCTCATTAGCTATTGCTAACAACATGGTATGACTGTTTTTGAATGGTTTGTTGCTGGACTGAATTGCTATTTTATGAGTTTAATGTATTGGTAGCAATGTAGCATATCATGTAATTTTTTGTTACAGTGACCTTACTGCCTGTTTGATGAACATGCTTGTAGAGCTTTTTGTTATTTCTAGTGTCAAATGAAGCCATACCTCTGATAGTCTGATGCATTTGCTTTTATAGCATTCTAAGCACATCCAAGAATCAAACAAAAGTTTATACACTATTATATCATCTGACTTCTTATTTTTCCTTTTATGAAAATATAGTAACTGAAATGGATCTTTTGCTTTTCTGGGTGACAGTATCACATTGTATTGGGGTTGAGATGCACTTTTAACCTGTTCCGAAACTTATCTAGTGATTGATTTGGACAGACATGTGTCAATGTTTGTGGGTGATTTTCATTTTGGGTTGTTGAGATGAGGTATAGAAAGGTCACCTTGTTAGGTTAAATCAAGTGAGAGTGGTCATACGAAGATCAAATGATTGGAACTGATTACTCATTTATTCATCGCTCATTTTCCTCTCATGTTTGTTAAAGTGGGTAATGATAACTTGTCTCTTGTCTGATATACATTTATCTAGAACAGTCTTCCCTCAGCTCCATTTTAGTTGTAAATATAATTTGGTAAGTAATGTAATTGATACAATGCATGTTGTATGCCGTATTGTGTTCTGCATAGGCGAATTACTGAAGCCATTTGACATTTTGGCTACTTTCCAGCATCAATGCAATAATCAGAATGGCGTTGAGTACCTAACGAAAAAATGTGACAACATTAATTTAATGTGGGCATCTCTTCTAATTGAAGAATGCAGCCGACTTGGTTTAACGGTGAGGCTTTCATCATTAACCAATTTTATATTATTAGGTTACATCTAATTAACTATACATCTAGTATTTTTGTATAGCTCCAGGCTCGAGGTCATCTCCCCTAGCAATTGCTGCTTCTACTCACCCAAGTACAAGTTGTGTTGCATGCTTGGACGAACGTTCACTTTCATTTCATGCCGTTGGTTATGCCAAAGGTTCTCAAAAACCAGCGGTTGTGATAACATCATCAGGCACAGCTGTTTCAAATCTCTATCCTGCTGTGAGTTTGATCGTTGAGTAGGCTTGTTTTTATCTTTAAAATGTTTTCTAGATCTCTGTTTTAGTATAGAATAAAATATACTGCTAGCTATATCATGCGGAGTATTTTGTAGGTTACTTTGTTTATAGATTGCCAAGATCACCTAATATATTAATCTCCGCTCTAATTATAAGCCATAAATATAAAGTATGGATTGTGCACTTGTGCAATTTTCACCCTGATAATGGAATTTAGTTTCAAGTTATTTCTTTTAAGTTTTTACTCTGGTAAATATCTTATGTGTTTTGTATTTTTCCTTTGCATATCCATTATCCCTGGTAATTTGCAGATTGTTGAGGCAAGTCAAGAATTTGTTCCTCTCCTCGTACTTACAGCAGATCGCCCTCCTGAGCTGCAAGATGTTGGAGCAAACCAAGCCATCAATCAGGTCCCCCCTCCCCCCAATGATTTGGCATAGCCGCTCCTCTGTTAACTGTTATTAGTCAAATTGGCCAAAAAAAACATAACAAAACAAAATCGGACTTCCCGATGGTTAACACTGCTTGGTTGGATCTTTCATGGAGCTTGTTTATGTCAAAGGTCTGTTTGGCAACATACGTGAAAGCTGCAAATAGATGAATAAAATGTCATTTTTATGGAATATAGATGGATAAAGAATTAACGGGTACTAAGTTTGAATAAGTTTAATAGATGAATAAAATAGCATTTTTTTATGGAATATAGATGGATAAAGGATTAAAGGGTACTAAGTTTGTAAAAGAATAAGTTTAGTAGTTGAACATGTATAACACGCTAGGCAAAGCGCTACAGGTGATAGCTTTTCAAATAAGTGCTCATTTTAAGCTCTTAGTCTATTTACCAAACATGGCTAATAGTTTATTTGGGGATCAAATCATGTTATATGCTCCAAAATAAGCTCCATCAAAGACTCTAAGACAGCATAAGAATCTACCAATTGAAATCTGCTACTTGGTTTGTCATTTTTGTAACAACCACAACCCATCTGAATCCCACAAAAGTAGGGTCTCGGGAGGGTGTGTGTCCGCAGACCTTACCTCTACTAGAAAGTAGAGACGCTGTTTCCAAAGAGACCCCCGGATCAAGCACCACAACTAATGACGTATGCAGCCTGAGCCCTATGTTTTAAACATAGAGAGGCTGTTTTGGGATGACCCATGATGAGCGTAGAAAGTTGCATTGACTAATTGCTACTTCAGGACTTCGAACCATTATTTGACATGGAAATATGAAAAGACTATGAAGTTTGGCAAGATAATGATTTTGAATTTAGTTATTCTTTAAGACAAAAAATTGTGATAAAGATTCACATTTTAAATTATTCAATTTATCTGCAAGAGTAAGTGTGTTTCTGATTTTCTTTGATTTTGTGTTTTAGGTCAATCACTTTGGTCGATTTGTGAGACACTTTTTTAATCTCCCTACTCCAAGTGATGACATTTCTGCAAGAATGTTGCTTACGACTGTTGATTATGCTGTTCATCTTGCAACCTCTCTGCCCTGTGGTCCAGTCCATATCAATTGCCCATTTCGTGAACCACTGGATAATAGTAAAAAACAATGGGAACGTACGTGTTTAAGTGGGTTAGATGTGTGGATGTCAACAGCTAAGCCATTTACTCGCTACTTTCAAGTCCAACATCCATTTGAATGCAGCTATGCTGACAGTGACATGGCTGAGGTTTTGCAAGTGATACAAATGGCAAAAAATGGACTTTTGTTGCTTGGAGCTATTCAGCGAGAGGATGATATATGGGCATCTCTTCTACTAGCTAAACACCTCTCATGGCCAGTTGTAGTTGACATATTGTCAGGTCTACGATTGAGGAATTATATCGATCATCTTTCTGAAATTGACAATGAGGTCTTGTTCATTGATCATCTAGATCATTTACTTCTCTCAGATTCAGTCAAAGAATGGATGCAAGCTGATGTGATCATTCAGGTAATTTGTTTGATAACATCTTTATTTCACATCAGTGATATGTTGATATGAAGAAATTTCTAGTTTGAGATTAACTGAAGCATCTAAGGAAAGAAATTATATGAATTCCTTGGCCTTTTTAGTGGAGAAGCGTTGTAAGAAAGTTCTTTAAGAAAATATGTTTTCCTGTATTTATGGAGTATCATATATAACCCTGTCACACAACTCCTTTGAAATATCCTTCTGATTAAATTTCTTC